GGGCGACGGCGACGGCAGCGGAAAACGACGACGGCGGCTGCGGCGAGGGCGACAGCGACGAGGGTTTCCCCTTGGCGGGAGGGATGAATCTCTTGCTCCAGCTCCAACTCAAAAATGCACCTATGCTGCTGGGGTGCAGAACATCATCCCGTTTCCCATTCGCCGTCCCAGACCCGAACCTCTCCCCCTTCCGATCCATCGCCCGCGAACCCCCCACTTGGGGACAGGAGAGAGCCCCTCCCCTACTCCCCTTTCGGGGACCAGAGCTGCCCTCTGACCCTAAGCATTAAACCCGAAGCCCGGCCCTGACCTTAAACACTACCCAACAACCCTCGCCCGAACCCTTCAAACATACCCCAATCTGAACGCCAAACCTAAACCCGAATGCGAAGCCGAACCCGTTAATGCTGACCCTAACACCCGATCCCCAACACCACAATCCGAATCCTCTAACCCAAACCTGGCCAAGACCCTGACGCAAACCCTAACACCCAAAGCATAACGCTCTGACCCTAACCCTAACACACACGGTCACTCAATCACTCACACACACACGCACGCTAACCGGACACCTTAACCCCATTCGCTGAACCCTAAAACCTAGCAGCTGTCACCATGACCTCAATATCCAACCGAACACGTACCCTAAATCATACACGATGCACTTTAAACTGACCTCCAACAATAACACCATTGTCATAACATGTCATAACCCTAACACCAACATCCTTAACAGCCTAAACATTGACTATAGTATTCAACCACTGCCTCTTCGCACTAACCCCAAACACCAGGACGAGGGGCCCGAACGACTCACACCACGAAGAGCCCGAACGACTCACACCACCAGGAGGGGCCCGAACGACTCACACCAGGACGAGGCGCCCGAACGACTCACACCACGAGGAGCCAGAACGACTCACACCACGAGGAGCCCGAACGACTCACACCACGACGAGGGCCCCGAACGACTCACACCACGAGGAGCCCGAACGAGTCACACCAGGAGGAGGGGCCCGAACGACTCACACCAGGACGAGGGGTCCGAACAACTCACACCACGAGAAGCCCGAACGACTCACACCAGGACGAAGAGCCCGAACGACTCACACCACGAAGAGCCCGAACGACTCACACCAGGAAGAAGGGCCCGAACGACTCACACCAGGACGAGAAACCCCCAACGACTCAAACCACGAGGAGCGCTTTCTCTCCCTCCTCCTCCGCCTCGTCCTTCTCCCGCTCCCCCCCACAAGGAGGATGTACAAGGAGGCGGGAGGAAGGAGTAACAGGGGAGATATGCGGGGCCAAGCGGACACACGCCTGCAAAACACGACTGTCGGCATGCTTCGCAAGAGTTGCTGTTGTGAGATGGGCTGGTGGGGATACGCGAAGCGTAAAGAATTAGCAAAGGGGGTAGTAAATCAGCCGTAAGCAACTGGTTGTCCCAGCGCCTCCCGGCGCCAGAGGCGCCGATGTATATGTGAGGAAAACAATAATCGTGTTGAGAGGAAGGGGTTAGGGGGGATGAAGCGTTTGAGAGATAGCACCCGGATGCAACGAACGATACCTTCGGCCGCATAATTACGGGAAAGGATACCCTCATTTCTCCAAGCCCCATCCTCCCAACCCGACAGTTGCGTTCCTTAATATGGGACAGGCGACCAACGGCGGGGTCGGAACTAGATGCGCGGAGCAGATGTCATAGACGCCCTATTCCCTAAACCCCGTCCTCGTGCGACCCGATCTCTCTCTCCAGCCCTAGAAGAAGAATAAACGGCATAAACATAAACTTTGGACGGTCCGCGCGGATTGCTTGGATCTGCTCGGGACCCCCCCTCCCTGGCGCGCGCTCCGCGCGCCAGGGGCGGCGCCGCAGGCGCCGCCGGGGGGCCCAGCGCGGATCCAAGAAATCCGCGCGGAGCGCCCAACATTTACGTATGGTTATGCCGTTTTGTGTTCTTCGGAACCTGGCCATGACCCTGAACCCCAACCCCAGCCCACAGCCCCCAACATCCCCCCCCCTGCCAGCCGGAGCGTGCTCGGCCTCCTACTTGCCCCACTCCCTGACCTCCCCCTCTTTGTGCGACCCCATCTCCCTCCAACCCGACCCTGACCCTTCACCCGGTCCCGGCCCCAAAACCCCGGCCCTTAACACCAACCCTCAAATCCGACCCCCTCCCCCCTTGCCCGCCGGAGCGCGCTCGGTCCCGCAGCCCCGGTCGCCGCCGAGGCGGGGAGGAGCGGGGAGGGAGACGTTGTCAAATTCGCAGGGGGATGGCAACAGGAGGAGCTTCTGGGCCTCGGGAAGGGAAGAGAAGGAGAGAGCAGGAGGAGGAGGAAGGAAGAGGGAAGACGAGAGAGAGGAGGAGGAGAAGGAGGAGGAGGAGAAGGAGGAGGAGGATGAGGATGATGATGATGAGGAGGAAGAGGAGGAAGAGGAGGAAGGGGGGGAGGAGGACAACGAAGACAACGACCCCCCCTCGCCCTTTTGGAGGGGCGGGGGGCTGAAACACGGATCCGCCCACCTTGAAGGGAGGGGGGGCCCTTGTAATCAGCGTGCCTGGCAGTGGTGGTTTCTCTTTGTGGTTTCTCGGCCTCCTCTGCCTGCCCCCTCCTCAAGGTCGACCTCTGGCCACATGCCCAGCCGCGCGCCTAGCACTTCAGGAGGAGGGCTAGCGGCTAGGGTAAGTGGAAGAGTCAAGTGCAGGGAAGAGGCAGGGGGGAGGAAGAAGGAAAAAGCGGAAGGAGAGAAAGGAAGGGAGTGAAGTGAGCGAGAGGGAACACGAGGGAGGAAAAGAGGGAAGAGCAGAAGAGGGAGGAGGGCAAAGAGGAGGAGGAGGAGGAGGATGAGGAGGAGGAGAAGGAGGAGTGCAAAGAGGAGAAGAAGGACGACGACCAGGGAGGAGGAGGGAGGAGGAGGAGGAGCAGGAGAGAGGAGGAGGAGGAGGAGGAGGAGTAGGAGGAGGAGGAGGGAGGAGGAGGAGGAGGAGGAGGAGGAGGAGGGGGAGGAGGAGGAGGGAGGGAAAGAGCAGGAGGAGGAGGAGGAGGAGGAGGAGGAGGAGGAGAAGCGGGGCGCCGCGGAAGTCGTCGTCGTCGTCGTCGTCGTCGTCGTCGTCGTCGTCGTCGTCGTCGTCGTCGTCGTCGTCGTCGTCGTCGTCGTCGGTTGAGGTCCTGCAGAACCTCCAGGGCCCTGTCGGGGTCCGCCTGCCGCAGCCTCCCCATGCAGGCCTCGTCCAGGCACTCGCGGATGGCGGGAGACTCCCCCCTGACACCCACGCGACATAGGGGGAGAAGGAGGAGGAGGAGGAGGAGGAGGAGGAGGAGGAGGGAGGAGGAGGAGGAGGAGGAGGAGGGGGAAAGAAAAGGAGGAGGAAGAGGATTGAGGGAGGAGCGAAGGAGGAAGAAGGGGTGACGAGGGAGAAGAGGAAAGGGGGGAGGGGGGAGGGAGATATGGGCACCTCGCGCTCTTGGGGAGGAGGAGGAGGAGGAGGAGAAGGAGAAGGAAGAGGAAGAGGACGAGGAGGAGAAAGAGGAGAACGTAGGAGGGAGGAGAAGAGGGGGATGAGTAGGAGTAGGATAGATAAAGAGTGGGAGGATGAGAAGGAGGAGCGATCCCCGACCTACCCCTTGTGACCGCAATGGGTATGATCTAAGCGGGCCTCCTCCTCCTCCTCCTCCTCCTCCTCCTTCCCCCTCGGATCCCTTATCCTTCTCCTCCGCCTTTTCTTCTTCATGTTCCTTCCTGAGGTGTTGGAACCGCCCAGACTGCCTGCCACAAGTCAGCCTGTTTCCCCGAATTGCTGTTGACGACCCCACGTCCTGGGAAGGCCCCCGGGCGGCCGAACGTGCCGAACAACCTCAGGACCCCGTCCCCTCAGGCTCATAGCGAACTGCTTGGGGGGAGGGGGGGGGCCCTGCCGAGGCCAGCCTGGACTGATGACCCTCGGGTCAACGCCCTGCATCCCCCCGTCAACTCAACTGCCCCTCTCAGTGCCGCTGGGGCCCCTGTGGGCCTCGCAAGGTGGCGCTCTGGAGGCCACCTGGTGCTCCCTGGAACAGCTGGCCGGGGTCACCTTGAGGCCAGGGCCCGCCCCTGGCAGCACCCGATCCCGTGGCCGTTTCGCCGATGTGCTCGGCTGCACGCAACCCAGACGTGTGACGGCCCTGATGTTTTCCAATGCGGCGCCCCCGGAGGTCCAGACCCTTTCCCAGGGGCCGGTTCTTCATCCCGAGTCGTCTTCGGACGGTTCCGGGGACCAGCGCTGGCCATCGCTCGGACGTCCATTCCCTATGCTTTTATCGGTTTCGTGCATGGCTTGTTCGCCGAATGAGCAAGG